AGCGTGTGCCATCGCTCTTGGAGCATACCAAACAAGTGCTCGACGTCCTTTCGCCGCGACTCTTGGGCTTTAGCGAAATTGGACTTCTTCATGCTCAACGGGTTGCTTATTGTTTTCACAAACACGCTATACTTTGGATAAATTCCATCCGCAAGCCAGTACGGTCTGTCGTAGGAGTGCCCATTCACCGAGAACTCGATCTTGGGCGAAGTCCCTATGTAAATTGTATTCATCTATGTTAGTAAAATTAAATAAATGCAAGTTAGTAGTCCAAGAATTAAGTACCATGGATTGCATCGAACAATAGTGGCGAGTTATCCAACACATTAATATCGTTATTGGCCCCAGGCATTTCAAAGAAGCAATGCCAGATGCGTCCTTGGGTATCCGAAATTGCTTCCAGCACGACGGTTGGCTCTCCGTTCTTGCCTTGGTACTGCCCAGCCCACGCTTTGGGGCAGTTTTTCCACACCAGATGACAACAATCAATACTGCCAAGCATTCCTGGCCAACCAACGCTTTTGCTGCGGGCAAGTAGGGCCGTCATGTCAGCGGTGCTTGGGCTTCGCAAGTAGGTCGGTCCAAATTCCGCTTGGACGGCATAGCAGAAACGACGTAGTGTTTCACGCATGATCGACTCGCCGATACGATACCTAACATATAAAACCGTAGAGTATGTGAGACTCACTAGTTGGGACTACACTTCATTTTACACAACGTTGAGCCGTATATGCGATGTACAAGCTATTATAGTTTGGAAATACAGATATATATTAATTCCACAATTAACAAATAAATATACCGGCAGTCCCGTTGCTACCGGTATGTCTCGGATGGAAGAGTCGTATATGCGGTGTATACACAAGTATAACAAGCACATATAAGTATATACTGTATTTATGCAACAATCGACAAATATACATGCCTGTCGTCTAAATCGTCCATAGCAGTCCCCGTTGCTAAATGTCGGATGCAAGCTGCGACTCGTTGATGCGGTGAAAGTCCTATGTTCCCTAGAATACAGTGAGACATCGCCAGAATAGTTATCACATACCTAATGCATCCTTGCGTTGTGTGAAGTACGAGTCCCTTGCTGCGGCGACGTCCATGACATGAAGGAACAAGTCACGCGACATACGGAATCGGCGCCGGAACAGGTCGCCTGGATACGTACAGTGGGGTGCGAAGTAGTCTTGTATCAGTAACTTCGCATAGGTACTGCGTTGACGGTCGATGTTTCGCGACTTGCCTGAGCGTGATCCACCGTGTGTGCGGGCAAGGGCGGGGCCGAAAACGACTTGAATGGCAGCATCAATGATGTCGCTGTCGTTGCAGCTATCACTTTCACTGTCGCTGTCGATTTGGATTTTCTGGATGGAGTCCAGGTCTCTGCGGTGCGAAATTATGGCGAAACACTGACCAGTAAAGTGCTGGAGTGGTATTATCCGGACATTATGCGGATAATGGTGTGTCGATTTACTGGAATGCGGTGGAGATGCTCGTAGTAAGAGGTGGTGTGGTCTGAGCATACAAAGTTCCTTATAAATATCATTGACTGTGTAACATTATTATTCAAGGTATTATTATGTTACTACGTAATATTACTAGTACTGTACTAGTATTGATAGTATTTTAATATTACTAGTACATACTTTTCCAAATTCATCAATATATCCCATACATACAGAACGACACTTCCAAATCTCTCTTTTTATTCGGTTGTCCGGAAAAAAGGCAGCGGGGCTAAAAATAGATGCGAACACTCATGTCTACATATCCCATCGCCTTTTCGACAACGATGGAGCGGGTGTCGTCCACGGTGTCGCGAAGCCACCCTCGTTCATCTTCTTTGTGGATGTTCTTCTTGTGCTATGTCATCCTGATCACGTCGAGTGGAATCGATGCGCAGGTGACCGCCGCCGACTCGACCGATTCATGCTGTGCCACGTGCCTCGCCCAGCCCAGAGTTGGCAGTGCCGACGCCTTGGACTTTACGGCGTGCGCGGCGGCTCAGACCACGTGCTGCTTTGACAAGACATGCCAGCCAGCCACGTTTGGGCCGCCAACGTACGACCTCACGCTCATGACGTTTGCCGACACGGAGACGCGGTTTCCCGCGGGCAATTGGTTGCGGATGCAATGGACGACGGCAGTGGAGGTCAAGTACCTGGCGTTAAAGACTGGGCAACCCAAAACCACCCAAGTGACCAACGCCAGTGTGGCCGCCACGCCCAAAGGCGGCGGGTTCTTCTTTGTCTGTCCTGCCCTCGAAGGCAAGCTGTACCTTCGGGCGTTTGCCCACAACGGCTGCACTGCGTCCAACGAACTCTCCATCACGGTACAAGGCCAAATACAGCAACGTGCTCTCGAACGATCACCTTGAAAACAATTACTCAAAGAAACCGACGGCGTGCGCATTAGATTACAGCGGGCAACGGATCCACGTGCTCGGAAGACGTGCCGACGGCGCCGATTCAGTCTGGCGACTGTGACGCCGTGCGAGGCGCCATGTTGAGTACGTCGTCGTGTTGTCTGCAATTTGGTTGAACGATGACGTTGATTGGACTTTAGATGGGGTGTGCACATGCTTGGAAGACTTTGCAGGGCCTCCGCAATGCCTGAGCAATTCATTCTGGAAGCGATGGGGCCAGATCATCACGTATGCGGCGGGCGGGGTGGGTACTACATGTGGCTCTCTGTGAATATCTCCTGATATACTAACTATATATATTATATATACGTTGTAGCTGTCGACGATCACGGCCATGTTTGGGTTTTACCGATTTTATAAGATGCGCCAGGCGACCAAAGACAACAACCGACGCTCCGTGATGGCGGCGGCGGCGACCACCCCCCTTCCCACCAACCACCCGACTGGCAGGTCCACCTCCCCTCAATACACGGACGCCGTCCACATGACCACACCGCCCGTCCCGACCAAGAAGCAGCTCTCCTTCAGGGACTTCCATCATGTGCCCACATCACAACATGCTCCTCTGACCCAGGTCAGGTTGGCCGTTTTGAGCTCCATGGACGACAGGCAGCATCGTGCTCCTTCTCCTCTCCGGTACGACGACGACGAAGAGTCGCTGAGGTCGTCCGTGTCGGACGGAGTGCTCCTCGCTGGCTACCACCATGATGCCGAAACCGCCGACGGCCGGACGTCGCACGAGTTTACGTTGTAGTACCATGTGTAGTTGGACATCACAGCGGGGTTCATGACTAATGAGTGTGTGATTTTTTTTAATTTGGAGCTACAGAGTTGTTCTATCTACGTCCACCCGTGGGAAGCAGGAGAGAGGGGTCACTACTGGACGATGTGTATGCATGATGGCCGCGATCTACAAGCGGGCAACACACACACACATGCCAGCAACGATGCGCATCCGTCCAACGCCCCATGACGAACGACCAGACGAGGAGGGGGCTTGGGGGTGTTTAACCGAGGGTGATGCCGAATCCGAACTTGTGGGCATCGCCTTCAAAGTTCTTCACGTCCACTTGGGCCGAAGTGGTCAACGACACGAACGGGCGCAACTTTTGGATCGACGCCAACGACAAAATGCCTTCCGAGTCGACCTTGGCAAGGTACGTGGTGTCCTTGTCCGCGGCGTAGCGACCGCCGACCGTCAACGAGTTGCCGCCGGTCTTCGAGTCGAAGTCGTACACGGCAGAGTACGTCACGTCCTTGCTAGGGGTGTGGACGAACGAAGTGACGAGGTTCTTGCAGAACTTCTTGGCCACGATGGACGCTTCGAAGTCCGCGGCCTTGTAGGCGACGGCTCCGCCGTAGTCGGCCACGGCTTGCTTTTCCAACGAGAACGACGTGGTACCACCCACAACGAAGTTGTCGTAGTGGAACACACCGTTTTGGGTCACGTTGTTGCCGACGACGTCGATTTCAGTGTGCGTGGTGAACGCGTCTTGGGTGTACTTGAGGTCCACGATCGCGACTTGCTTGGCGTTCTTGCCGCCATCTTCGAGCTTGAAGCCGAGCTTCAGGTTGTCGACCAACGCGTTGTTGATTTCGGCTTCCCCGATCAAGCGGCCTTGGGTCGTGACTTGGAGCTTGGTGACGTTCAACCCGCTCGAGTGGGAGAAGCTCGCGCCGAGCTTGGCGAGGATAGACTTGTTGGCACCCAACGCGCCTTCGGTGGTGAAGGTGACGCCGTTGGTGGACTTAGTCTTGATCTTCAACTTGCGGGAGAAGTCGTAGTCATCCGAGATGGTGTTGTTGGCCTTCTTGCCGATGTCTTTGAAGAGGGTAGCGGGCATGCTGCTTGAGGATGTGTGGGGGACGTGGTAGATTCGGAACTGACATCCCCCACGTTCACTTTCCGTCGAATCTCTAAGAAGAGGTTTGAGTTTGATTTCAAATCCGCCAATCAAAACGTCGCCTTTCACGTCTCCACCAATCAAAAGCGATTGCGTCATCCCCGGAATCTCTCTGCGTATCCGGACAGGGACCAGGGGTCTTATAGCCATCTGGTTGAACTTGCTACGTGATGCTGCGGATGCGGCCGATGCCGCGTGGCTGCCGCTTCCTGTTGCGCCGCCGTGCCTCTGCTCTTCTCGTCCGTTGATGAAGAAGGTCGATATCGGCATGATGTCTACGTCCATGCATCATCTATCCCACACAAGGAGCATGTCCCGACAGATGCACAACATGTTTCAAGCGCACGCAACATGAGCAACTCTCATGTTGAGAGTTGTTGCTCATGTGGTGACATGTGTCCATGTTTGCTTTCATCGACATCACCGTCGTCACTTCGCGTGTCTTTGAGGTCTTTCCTCGCGGCCCTTCCCAGTCTCAAGGGAAGTGCCACAAGGAAAGGTCTCAACGACGCGCGAAGTGACAGTGATGTTGATGCAAGCAAGCATGGGAACTGGAACGAACCGCGTTCGGACAAACCGCGGAGTGAACGCTGGCACTGGTTCAACACACATAATGGACGCATGGACGTAGGCACTGTAGTAAGGTTCATCTATTGTCCTGCTTTGGTAGGCTTCTCCCACGCCGACATGCGCGTGGTGAGGTTCCAAAAGTACTTCTTTCCACGAATGTCCAACGCGCTTCGCCAGTCGCCGTACTTCTGGCCGATCAGGTCAGCGTCGTAGTCGTCGTCGGTCGCGACGGCGTCAGTGCGTTGGCCTGCGTCGAGTGGAAGTCCCCATGAAATGGCGCCCGATTCCAAATCTTCCGTGCTCGCCTACATAATGTGCCATGATACGTTGATATGGCACCTTGATCTTGCATGTGTGTACCTTTTGAATGCTTTTGAGCTCGCGGAGGACGTACGATGCGAGGAGCGCCGCTTGCCTGGGCTTGACGTTGGGTTCGACATTGAGCACGTGGCGGGAAATGGCGTCGTTCAGGACGGTCTTGGACCCGGCCGCGTTGAAATGCTGATCAAAAGCGACGCATTGACTGAAGCAGCGCTGCTGGACTTCGCCTAAATGCTTGTTGACGGTCAGTTCCGACACGTTTTGGTGGCGGATGCGGAAGGTCGTGTCGTCCCAGAGTCGGTCGAAGAGGGCTTCCTGCAACACCTTGCCCGGGTCATTCTTCCCGGACGACTTGGTCGAAATAAGTCGGCGGTGGACGATCCACACGTGCACCATCAACAGCGCCTGTTGCGCGCGAAAGTCCGTCGGCAGGTCCAATGCACGATAGAACGAAGGATGCGCGGCTTGGTTCACGCAGCTATGATACAGCAACGCAGAGTTGCTGCTGATTCGGGCATCTTCGTTGTAATATCCAAGCAAGTCGAGCACCCACTTCCATCGCTCCATGCGCTCTTGGTGTTTGGGTTGGGTCACGTCAAAGTTCGTGTTGAAGATGCCAGAACGGGGACTAGGTGGGGGGATCTGCGTGGCGGATGTAGACATCATCATCATGCAAGGGATTCCTTGGCCCAAGGCCGCGGTGGCATGACGGCGGTGCGTGCGGCAGTGTCGCACCAACGACGCGTGCATGTGGCTGCGTTTCTTGAACGAAAATGGGCGCCAGGCTCCACGAATTGACTCCTGTCGACACGCCACTGAAAAGGTTAAAATACGTCGAAATCTTGGTATATCATTTGCTGAAATTCACGAATATTGGGGTATAATTTTGGAGAAAATTGGATAGTTTCATTACAGTTTGAATGAATCCCTAGCATTTGATTCGCCCATATTTGAATGTTTTTGATGATATATTCGCCTCATTTTGAACAAATCGATTCCAGAAAAAGTAACCAATTGGGACCACACCTGGTTGGAGAATCCATCACCATGGCACGCAGCAGGAGTCCAGTCCGCCATCGATCGAGAAGTCCTGCGCCACGGCATCGTTCTAGAAGTCCCGGACGCAATCGGTCTCGCAGTCGAGGCCGATATGACAGCGGCAGGAAGCGTGATCGCGGACGGGAACCTGAAAAGGAACTTCGCGACGTCCATCGTCCCAAACGGGTTCGCAAGAACACCGACGACAACGACGACCTCACGTCCAAGGGTAAGCCATCATCCGCCTCGTCGTCGTCCACGGTGGACGCAAAGAGTTCGTCTTCGGCCCCCGCCGTCATCTCGTCGTCCGACAAGAACGGCGAAATCAGCATGACCATCGACGAAACCAACAAACTCCGCATCTCGATGGGTCTCAAGCCCCTGCGACTGACAAACGCATCCAAGGAAAAGGAAGTCAATTTGTCCAAATCGCGCGAAGACGTGGCGGAAGAAGCGCGGCAGAAGGCGCTCACGGACGCATTGGCCAAGTCCAAGCAGAAGCGGCAATTCACGGAGAAACTCAAGGGACAGTCCCTCGGCGAAACGTTAAAGCAGGCGGACGGCGGGCGTGCGTCCGCGTTGGATTGGGTGCGCCAGAGTCGGACCAAGAAGGCGGCTGCTCCCGCGTCGTCAGCTCCGTCCGCCTCAACGTACGGCGCCGCGGACCTGAAGGGTCTCACAGTTGCCCACGACGCCCGCGCGTTTGAAGAAGGGGACGAGGTCATCTTGACATTAAAAGACCAGCGAGTGCTCACAGACGACCGCAACGACGTGAACGACGGTGGCGACGAGCTGGAGAACGTCGACATGCGCGACGAGGACCGGCGGTTGGAGCGGGAGGCGCGGCTCAAGCGCGCGAGCGGACCCGTCTACAGCGGCTTTGACGACGACGAGTTCACGACGATCCTCGGGCCAAAGAAAGCCACGAAGAAAACGGTGCGGCTGCTGGCGCAGTACGACGAAGATGAGGACATGGCGGCGCTGCGCGAGGCCAACAAGTTTGCATTGAGCGACACTGGCTCGCATCTCGTCGAGGCCATCCCTCAAAGAGACGTTGATGGTGACAAAGGGTCGGTGTCGCTAGCGTCGCACAAGAAGCAGTACATGGAAGAGTACTTTACGACGGCGGAACTGGCCGTGTTTTCGAAAAAACAGTCGAAAAAATTGCGCAAAAAAAAGAAAAACATGCGACAACGTGACGACGACGATTTCGTGCAGCAATTGGAAGCCGACGCCGTGTCGCAGACGACGACGGACCACGGCAAGCGGCGTCTTACGACAAAAGAGGGTGATGGCGGCGGCGATGACGTGGCAGCCCGCGATCGCTTTGAACGTGCGCGGCACAAGGCCAACGTCAAGGCACAGGTGATGGTGGAGCGCATGAAGCAGCAACATGCAGAGGAAGACGACGACGAGTTGGGCGCGTCGTTGGCGCGGTCGCGGCGGCTCGCGCTCGTAGTGGCCGCCACCGCCGCCGCGAAAGAAGACAATGACCGCCGTGTGCTGCTGCAGGTGTCGGGGATGTCGCAAGGAAGCCACGGCGGCGGCGACGCTGCGGCGACTAGTGGGCATCAATATGGCCACATTCACAAGGATGATCCTTCGAGTGGCGGCGAGAACACGACGATGGTGTTTGGCGAGTCGACAGACTTTGACGTTCGTGTGAAGAATGCCATGGATGAACGGGATGCGGCGCGGGCGGCGGCGACGGCGACGGCGGCCGTCGGTGGTGGTGCAGGAAAGCATCGAGGGGGGGTTGTGACTACTGTAGAGGAAGACGTGGATGATGACCAAGAAGGGAAGAAACCAATGGTGTCAACAGTCGAAGACGAGGTAGAAGAAGAAGAAGAAGAGGAGAGTTCGTGGGGGGTGGATGAGCCGCTGGTGCAGACGGGCATGGCGGCGACGCTGGCCCTGCTTCGCAACCGCGGCGACCTCCGCGACGCGATTCAGATCCGACAAGCTGGCCGCGCCAACGACCACCGCGAACGAAATGTTGAAGAGGAGCTGCAGATCAAGGACGGTGTCAAGCTGGACTACCGCGACGAGTTTGGGCGGTTGTTGACCAAGAAGGAAGCGTTCCGCCGCATCTCGTACCGGTTCCACGGACACACCCCTGGCAAGAAGAAACAGGAGAAGCGCCTCAAGCAGATCAAGGAAGAACTGGCGCAGCAGAAGAACTTGGGGAATGTCGTCGGACGCATGGAGACGCTGGACAAGCGGCAAAAGGTCGCCAAGCAAGCGCATGTCGTGTTGTCTGGCAAGTAGACGAGTAGGTGGAAGGGATAAGGAGAATATGATATATGCAACATGATTTGGGTCCCAGATAAGAGGGGAGAACGATGGATTGATGATGGATTAAGGACGACTTCACGCGGCAAAGAGCAAGCGATGGACGGCCATGGCCAACAATAACGCGGCCACGTACTCGCTCTTCCGCTCCCCGATACGAGACGCCTTCCAACAGAGTCCTGTGAACCCTTCGTGCTTCCCAGGCAACTGCCCTCGGTCGAAGATCGTCGGCATCTTGAGGCGAATGTACGTGCATGTGCAGATGATCAGCAGCAGCATGGTCAGCATTCCCGTGAAGTTGAACAACGCAGTCTAAGTAGCACCACTCCATAAGGATTCGAAGGGGAACGTTCATGCAAGCGCAGGAGTTTACCATCACGAACGAGACGTCGGCGGGCTTGTGGAGTTGTGTTTTTAGGGATTTGTTTGTTTAGGGATTTATATTATTCTGGTGAAAACACAGTATTTAGGGTGCGTCAGGTATTGTGAATTCCGGTGAAATTTGCTGTTTATTGCCGGTCAAACTATTATTTTAATAATAGTTTGACCGGCAATAAATCGACCCTGACGATTTGATTCGCCAAAAATATCTTAATTCAGCCAATCAAACAGTATTTCCATGAGGCTGTGAAATCAACCGCAGGAACTGAAAGCCGCGGCGACACGGCAGCATGAGCGCCGACACAGTTTACCACTGCCCATTCGTCTATAATTTCTCATGTTTTCATGAAACACTTTACTGCAGTCTACCGGTATATAAGCTTATAGTTAAGCAAGTCCAAGCATCACACCGTCGCGATGAGCAGACGAGAGGCAACAACAATCAAGTACGGTTGCACACGGGGTACATGTGCGCAAGTGTTTGCTCTCGATGGAAGTGCGGTGTGGCGTAGTTTCCTTGAACGTACCAGTACCTTGTGTCGGTGATGGTGGCATCGGCGTTCGCTTCGACGGTAAGAGTATATTCCAATTTCTGGCAAAACGGGATAAACCAAAAGTGCCATTTTCAAAATGGAGGTACAGTCTGTAACGTTATTGTGGATTTGATATGGTGCAATTCAACTAAAGACTACAAAAAAATGCCTTGTCTTTCTACAGCTATTCCAACTTTGTATTGATATTTTTTAGGAAAATAAGCCGTAATAACGATAGAACTGGTCAAGACCAACAGAAGTTACGGTTCAAAATTTCGATTGGTGAAAAATTGATCGAGTAATAGAATTTAAACCAACCAGCCTTTTTGTATGAAAATATATAGAGCCAGGCACATTTTGGCCGAAAAGGAGCATCAAGTATATCTTGGTCTTTGTATACAGCACTTATCCGTATGAACGTTTCCATCGTATCCGGATTATTCAGGATGTTTAACCTATTTACCAGATAAAAAACGTAAGTAAAAATAATTTAACGTCAACATTACGTTAACTGAAATAACCGAGGCGTTTAATAGTAAAACGTCTCCTCCTGAGGATGGCCGATCTGTAGTCTTTAGATGAAATGCACCATACGAATTTCCGTCCAATCGAATGATCGCGCCGCCGAATCGAATCACGAATCGACGCTCATTTTTGAGTGGCTTTGATTGGCTCTTCAAAACCTAGTATTGAAAATAAAACAGCTCGAATTTTTAAAAACTTGCAAAGAGAAAATAAATTTTGGCCTGAGTGCATAACTATTTATATTTAAATTTCGCTGCTCCATTTAATTTCGTGACTTCACGTTTATTATTAGTACTACTGTACGTAGAACTGTATTAATAAATATATATCACCAAGCCAGCGGACGACACGTAACTACACCATGGGCGACGCTTACCACTTTTCGGCATGTTGGATTCCATGGCCATGACTAAGTACTGTAGATAATCCTGACAAGTGACAAGTTGTGATGACAACTTGCTTGCCGTCACCGACGCATGTTTCTACCAACAGTTTTGTTTGAACTACTATAGAACGTAGGACACTGTTTGCTACACGAAATCGTGAGAGATTATATCGTTGTTTCGGACAGAAGATCCGCCGTGCATTGGGCTCCTCTGACAGGTGCACAAGCGACGTCCGAGAAGAGCCCGATGCATGGCGGATGTGACGATAGGCGTATATACGGAGTAAAGGAATATCTATGAGACACAGACATACCAGAGGTATTTGCAAGGACAGCGCCAGGCAAGTAGGGTGCGACAGGTGCTTAACCTCATCTTGTACAAGTCGGTGGGGGTGGCGCAGTGCTGGCTGCTCCTTTCTGAATAAGGTGTGTGCGCCATTCGAGAGCCAGTAGAGAACATCATTGGTCGAAATATATTGACGAAAATAGCAAAAATATAACCTTGACAGTGAAGTTTGAAGTTACACATATTATATATTGTTATTATATGGAAGAAATATATCGGTGGTCTCGTGAAATATACTGCAAGCCATGCGAAATATAGTTTAACAAAAGCTGAAATTAACCACAAAAAGGTATAGTAAGGACTTCTGCATGTTTGGGCGGCCCAAACGTATAGTCCTAACATCAAGGCTTTTGACAGTCAACCAAATTCACAGTCAACACAAATTATCCTATTTGTGAAGGATACAACGTACACTGTAGGCCCAACAAATGTAGGCTGCATTGCGGCATCCGATTCCATCCCTTACCATAGTTGAGGACATATGTGTATGTTTACTCACATGTCAAAGGAGGGACTAAAAAGTATTTACTGTCAATACACAGATCAGATCTACTAGATAAGGTAATTAAAATTCCACGCAGAACAAGTGAAATCGTCGACCAAAACATATTGGCAACTTTTCAAGAGCCTGGCCCTCTCCCCCCGGGACTTCGTCCTACCCCGAAGTGATCACGTGTGGTGCTTTGTCCTGGGGTTTGTTAGTAGCAAGTGGTTAGCTAACCACTTGCAACACACAAACCCATCGTGGGAATGGTGTGGTACACCAACATTCATTGGTACCTAAATTATTTTATCGAATACATGTGGATTGGAGACTTTTTGGCCTGTCCTATATTCCATGTTTCAAGATATTCCGAGCTTTGATTACCCAAATTATCCGGATAACACAATCGTTCACGTTTCCGGAATAACTCCGACATGGATACGAGTTTTGAGGCGTGGATGGTCCATCGATGCCTGGAATAGTCCGTTCATGTCTGGCACTCATTTTCATAAAGAACGAAAAAGTATTGATCGACATTTATTGGATTGCGAAAATATTTTGTCCGGATACGTCTCAGTTTCATGGACTTTATCTTCCCCGACCAGCCCCTAACTATACTCAACGTGAAATATTCTGGTGTTCTGTGATGCCATCATAAAATGTCAACCTTGGTTGGTCCCGTTTCACAAATGTCACATGAAAATATAATATAATTATGAGTTCAAAAACGCAGTTCTTTGTCGTAATAAGATGAATATGCACACCACAGTACATGGTCGGTTGAACTTTTTTATGGTTACCAACTCCAAGTTTCAGCCAAAACGGACAAAAATTGACGAAAGAGTCTTCGGGGATACCGGTACAGTATCGGGGGTGCTTCAGCTAACGTTACGAGTATCACATTATACTACATTAGTATTTTTCAATTGCTGGAGTTATCTCGACACCTTGCTTTCATTTTGAGTGGCATGGGACAAACGAAATGTCCCATGCCGCTCAAAATATGTTGGTGGCTAGTACGGCAATTCGACGTTCATGTTATGGAGAATAAGAGGATATGCGGTATATATTACTTCCTGTATGCAAGCGAGTGCATAAGTGATGGAGCGACCAGCAATCAACCTTTGCTTCCCCGCCATTTGCATTGATTGCCATCATGGAGACACCCAATCCATCCTTGTGTGATAACACGTCGATGAATAGGAATATTTCGAACCGTTATCTCAAAATAGTCGAAATATTTGCATGTAAAAACGTTCAAACTCGTCCAGCAAGTTAGCGGTCCTGGCTCTAATTACAACACACCTACAGTACACTATAAGCAACATGGCTCCCAAGCGGCCAGGTAGGAGCTCTCGCCCCCCGTTCCAGCGGCAAGGCAACTCAACCAAACTGCCATGTAGGCACATACAGCGAATCCGGCCTCAGCGACACCGACATCATTCCCATTTTGGACGAGCGGTTCAGTTACAACAAAGATGACCGCGCGCCGAGTGGTAGCAAAGTGATAAAGATCGCGTTGGCATCCATCGGTGTGTTGCTCATCGCCGGCGGCATCGCCACGGCCGTCGTCATGTCGACGTCTGACAGCAGCAGCAGTGCCGGCACGTCGTCGTCTCGGAACAAAACCACGTCGCCCAATGACGTGGCATCCTCCGGCACGACCAGCGACTCGTCATCGTCGTCATCGTCGTCGTCCTCCCAATCCGTCACCAAATCCAGCACGTCCGTCGCTGTGGACCCCGAGACTGACGTCGCTGCGCTGACCATGCTGGCCATTGGCGACTGGGGCAGTACCACCGGTAATGTCCCCCTCTTATGACTACCAAGCAGTGGCACCTCCGATGTGTTGACCATATCTTCCCATATCCCTTCTGACAAACCAACAACGGCAAATCCAATCTAGATTCCCTTATCCTTTCTGACAAAACGACAGTGGCAACTCCACGAACTCATTCACCCCTATATAGGCCGCGGCAACGACGGCAGCTCCCCCGGATCGTGCTGCAAACTGTACAGCAAGGGCCCAAACGCCGGCAAGGTGGACACGTCCAAGGCGCGGTACCTCGTGGACTACCACGCGCAGAAATGGGTCGCCGAGCTCATGGGCATGTCGGCCGCGATGCTCAAGCCGCCGCCGTCCCGCGTCTTGAGCCACGGCGACAACCTCTACTGGAATGGCGTCGGCCCCAACGACATCCAGTATCGCATGGAGGAGACATTCGAGAAGATGTACACGGCGCCGGCATTGATGCCGGTCAAGTGGGTCAGCGTGACCGGCAACCACGACATCGGCGGGTCCGCCTACATCTGCGGCGACGACAACGACAACTTCCGGGAATGCACGTCCGTCGACGAGATGCTCTCGTTCCTGGACAAAAAGTTCGACTTGCAAGCGTCCTATGTCAGTCCCAACAGCAACCGGTACAGTACCTAAATACCACCTTCGATTTTGTATGGTTTACTTTCTCTGTTCCAATATACTGTACTGTGGACAAATCAAAACCCCATTTGTTTCATATTACTGTCGACATTAACTGACTGACTGCCCTATGATTGGCCCATGAAATATTTTCCATTGATTTCATTGGTTTAGAAATTTCTCAGATGGATGAGATCATATTTGCGCTAGTAATGGGTGATCAGACCCCCCTATTTGTTTTTAAAATAAGTTTATTTTATTATAATCGCTTTAAATAGGCAAGACTCCAATTTTGCATACGCTTTCAAAAATGATATGTTTCATCAAGTTTGAACAAGAAATGCGATGATTTGGGGTCACTTTGAAGACAAATGTCGACAGTATATTGGAGCAGAGGACGTATATGAATTGCCGTTTTCCCCCGTTTTTTTCGTTTTTTAGATTTGTTTTTCGTTTGTTTCTTGATATTTCTGGTGTTGGTTACAGTTCTTTGGTTGCGGGGGTTGGGGTTTTACAGCGGTTGTGTACACGTACGTAGATGGCTGATGAAGGACCACTACTTTCTCGAACGCGTGACGCAAAACAACGTGACGGTGGATATCTTGAATATCGACACGAACGACGCGGCGGTCCACGGCGCATCGCAGGTGTGCTGCCAATGCTACGGTTACCGATGGAAGTATACCCAGGCACCAGGCGACACGAAAGACCCGTGCAAGAACACCGTGCGCGGTGACCAGGTTTGCGCCGGCGGTGACGTCGAGATGTACGACGTACGTCCCCTCGTCCTTGCATGTGATTCGTCCTATATCGTCATGATATTATCGTGGACGGTGTATGTGTGGTATTGGCAAGAGTTTAAAATGACCTTGTATTGTGCATTTCACCCAAAACTTTGGACTTTGGAATCACTTCGAACTACATATACAGGTTGCATTCGAATCTCTTTGAACTAGACTACATAAATCTGGTTTTCCACAATATGGGCCGAATCACACAAGTTTCGATTGGTAGTATCCTTTTACTCAAAATGTGTAAAGATCGTCCAGTTTCACACGAATTGAAGTCACACACTAAATCGATGTTGAACTGGTCAAAGAGTGGATTTGATTGGCTACTTGATTCTTGATCTGGGTTTTGATTGGTCGGTCGATTGCCTGCCGAATTGGTGCTGGTCATTCGATCGATTGAGCACCCCACTCCAATTTCGAATCGACGTGACAATACATACTCCTTAATCGTCGATCCTATATAGATGCTACGAAATATTGTGCTTTCAAGCTAAAGTTGGTATTTTCGGTAGATTCGACTAACGACGTCGAATCTACCTAAACTAAATATACTCACTGTGAATCCTATCCAATATACAATGTTGAACTCTTTGTGAATGGAGAAGCATGGGAATTTGATTGGTTAATCCTATGTGGTTTTGCCCAATGCGGCGAGCGGGGCTGTGCCTAATCAAGTGATTGGATTGGCAGAAACTCGACACGACGTGATTTGATTGGCTTAGGCGGTTCTTGAATCAAGGTTTTTATTCGATATTTTCATTGGCTACTTCGGTCCGTCGATATTACTACGTCGATGTTTTTGCTTGGTCGTTTTGAAATCGAATTCTCAAGACAACGCATTGGTCGTGATCGAGATTGTTTGTAGAAATGCATGGAACGCATCGACTCGTGGGCGAAAGCGTCGTTCGATGGCGCGACCAAGGACCTGATGGCGTCGACGGCGGACTTTAAGATCATCAACACGCATTACTCGCCACATTTCCACATGGACCCGCCGCACATGCAAAAGTGGTACGATCTGACCAAGACCCATCAAGTCCACGGATGGTTCAACGGCCACACGCACGGGTTCAACCATGACGTGGCCAAGTGGAACACACACTTTTTTCAAAACGGCGCTGGTGGTGGCATCTTTAGCGAGTCCGCTACGACCGTCGCCAACAACGATCAAGTGAAAACGTATGTATATATATATATATATCTGCTTTTTGATATATGTAGTGAGAGTTGATATTGACGTATTGAACGTTTGATAGAACGTGGGTAGCGTCGGGACAACCGTACGGGTTTCTTGAGCTGAGTTTTTCGAAATCGTGGATGAAAGTGCAGTTTGTCAGTTTTGACAAAACGTGGAACTTTAAGGGGTTCGACTTTGGAGATACGACCAAAGGGGGGGTGGCCAGAGGACATTGCTGGTTCGTGCCCAAGGTGCTCGACAGCCCAGGTGTCGAATGCAAGTCGTCCGTGAATGGTGTCGTGGGCATGCCTACCTAGTCTGTCGAATAACAATATCGTAGATCAAGGTGTAATATTATGCCACACTGTGTGCAACCCAACCTTGTTGTGTTTGGTTTTTTCGCCAAGTTTATACCGTCCCTTATACAACGGTTTGTATTGGGGTTAACATGCGGCGTGCCACAACCTGCAATGCCACCCACCCTTACCACTCACATACAGTGATGTAATGCACACATATATGTTGTCACATTTTCCAAGGCATCCTCGCTTGTGAAAGCTGGCGGTTGCGGACGTTCCATGTGTGAGCATTGCAAGGCAGGCTCATGCACGGTTGCTGGTGGGACTGCCACGACAACGCTCGTCATACTCGTGCTAAGCGGCATTTGCTACCGCTTAGCCATCATGCGAAGTAAAAGCATCGCGGGATAAAATTTCAATGGTCGACCGAATTATGTGGCGAGAACGGAACTTGCCAATCAAATCGCTCCCTTTGCATGCCTCAACCGTGTGCGTTCGGAATATTATCCAGAAACCGGATACGCATCAGAACGAAATCAGCCAGGCATTCTTGAATTTGCCCAACAATGCAGAAGCGCACCATCGTCATCGTTGTGGGCTTGGTGGTTGCCATCGCCGTGGCCGTTGTGCTGATCCTCACGATTGGCAAGGGAAGCAGCAGCGATACCTCAAACTCATCTGGAGGCAAGACCCCAGCTAACGGAACACCTGCCCTTGCCAAGAACGTCACCGCCGAGGACTTGCTGGGCACATCCAAACCACCTCCCGGCGCGACCACGACCCCTGCGCCTACCCCCGCATCTGACCCCGAGACTGGCAAGGCTGCGCTCACCATGCTCGCCATTGGCGACTGGGGTAGTACCACCGGCAAGAAGTCTGGCAACACACTGGATGACGCCGGCGACCCTGGCTCTTGCTGCAAAACGTACGGTGGCAGTGGAGCCAACGCCAATAAGGTCAACCCGTCCAAGGCTCGCATCAAGGTTGACTACTGGGCGCAACTTTATGTGTCTACGATTCTGGCCCAATCTGCTGGCGAGCTCAAGCCCAAGCCAGCCCGAGTGATTGGTCATGGCGACAACATCTACTGGGATGGCGCTGGACCTGGCGATATTGCTTACCGCATGGAAGAAACGTTTGAGAAGAAGTATGCGCAGCCGGCATTGGCAGGCATCAAGTGGGTCAACGTCGCTGGCAACCACGATATTGGCGGCTCGGAGTACATTTGTGGGGAAAAGGACTACAACTTTGTCAAGTGCAAGGACACGGCCGAAATGCTCAAGTACCTGGACCTCAAGTTCGATCTCCAAGCGCAATACAAGAGCCCGAACCAGGACCGGTGGCTCATGAAGGACCACTACTACGTCGAGTCGGTTAAGAGCGAGGACGGCAGCGTCTCTGTGGACATCTTCAACCTGGACACAAACCACGCCGATTCTCACGGTTTGCAGCAAGTGTGCTGCCAATGCTATGGGTATTCAAGAGAAACGAAAACCAAATGCACGGGCAATGAAATGCCCGGAGATGCCAACTGCGCTGGCGGAGATAAGGCCATGTTTAACGCTTGCCAAGACAAGATCGAAGGCTGGGCCAAGGCTTCGTTGGACGGCGCGGCGCGGGATTTGGCCAAGTCCACGGCCACATACAAGATCATCAATACGCATTACTCGCCGCACTTCCACATGGGCGAGCCCAAGATGCTGACGTGGTACAACTTGACGAAGACGTATGGGGTTCACGCCTGGTTCAACGGCCACACCCATGGGTTCAACCATGACGTGGCCAAGTGGAACACGCACTTCTTTGAGAACGGCGGTGGCGGCGGTATTTTCACGGAGACTTCGTCAGAAATCAATAACCCCTTCGTTGACACCCTGTGGGTGGCTGGCGGCAACCCGTACGGGTTCATGGAGTTGAGTTTTACCAAGGACTGGATGAAGGTGAACTTTGCCACGTTCGACAATACGTGGGACTTTGGGGGCTACAACTACGGAGCGACCAAGTCAGGCGGGATTGCGCGGGGCCATTGTTGGTACATTCCTAGCATCCAAGGCACCAAAGGTGTCAAGTGCAAGGCGTCCAACGATTTGCCCCTGGGGGCCCCCATCATGCCAGACAATGCGTAGGTGGTATTAATTGTTATCAGCTCACTCTTGAACTATTCGTTTGGAAAATCTGAAGGATTGGAAATTAAAAAAAATGCGGTTAAGCCAACCTTCTGTAACGTTGGTTTATTAGATAAGGCTACGATACGTGATAACGTTAATGCTACTGTACGTACGTTTGAGGCTAACTTACTTACACAATCGCGAAGCAGGTGGGTTCGATTGTTTTCATTCGTGACTGATTACGAAGCATTCAATCAGAGAATTTAGAATGGATCGGATTTCATCCGACCAGGTTTATTGTGTACGGTACTGTACTGTACAAAGAACTCTACTATACGCTCTAACCTTGTCCATGACGCCCACGAAGGTCGTTCCCGTTTGATCAAGTTACACACATGAAAAACTGTGTCCCGTTCGGGGATTTTGCTCGTGGTCTATCATGACAGTTCGGAAATGGGTTTTCAGGGTATATGGATGAATATGACGGTTACTCCGACTGTGATTCTAACCAATAAATGAACGGAATTTTGCAATATATTTAATAAATAAATTCCAGACTGTTATTTTAGGCCAATCAGTGTAGGCTTTTGGAGCTCCGACAACTCCGACATATTTTGTCTGAGAAAATATGTGCATCCGTAAATACAAAATTCAAGCTGTTTTCGCATAGCTGACATATTTCCAACTCCTCCGACAAAACATACATTCTGAAAAACCTACAACTGGCCCATTATAAGCCAGGCATCCTTAAATTGTAGAAATCTACAAACTATACAGTCCGGCCGGAAACTATAGACGCACCTCGCAATTTGCGAGTTCATGATGATATCATTCGATTCAGCTCGAACCTTAAGTGTCCCCACCATCGAACAGTGATGTAAAAGGGTCCCTCAAGAGGACTTGAACTAAAGATCAGTTGAAATGTTGCAAAGTTCATTTTTCATATTTTGGACTGGCCGGAAACTATAGACGCAGTTACTAATTTTAACACTACTTGTCGATGCTGTGGCCTCTGCGCAGAATAACTTGCGCCATTCGAGTCGGCATACCGTCTACCAAATGTTGCAAGTACTCTTGATCAATTTCGCGCCACGAAGCCAGGATTTGGGCCTTTAAAGCTTCCTTAGAGTCGAATTGTCGTCCATTGGCGTACACTTTCCGGGCCAGGACCCCCCAAACGTTCTCAATTGGGTTAAGATCGGGACTCTTCGAAGGCCATTCCATCGTGGGTCATGCCAATTGCTTCAGCCAAGTCGTCGAAAGCTTGGAGGAATGGATATTAGCATTGTCTTGTTGGAAAACTGCAGTATCACTTTGGGACTTTTGGCTGAGGTCACGCATAGCCGGAATCATGTAGCCTTGGAGGGTGTTCTTGTACTTCGCAGAGTCTTGTCGACCTTCGAGAAAGGCCAGCTCGGTGGCCTGCTCTTGTTGTAGTAGCTAATGCCAGCCCAGATGAATACCGAGCCACCACCCGAGGCTCGCTTGGAGTAGGTCTCGACCTCGTTGCGCAAATCATGCCAGTAGTATTGGCAACCGTCCGGACCGTCCAGGTTGAATTTCTTTTCGTCAGTAAAGAGCGTAGTCTTCATGGATTCGAGCGTGTTGAGCTGCTTGGACGCAAATTCGACACGACACTTTCGATGTTCGGAAGTCAGCCGAGGTCCCGAGCGGCGTTTGATGTACTTCGCAAATTTGGACATTTTGAGAACAGTTAGGACACAAGTTCGCTTTACTTTACCATCTAGTGCAGCGGATATCTGCCTAGCTGACATACCCTTTCGGGTAGCGAGTCGGAAGATCCGTCGTACTTCTCGACGCGTCATCTTCATGCGTCTTCCACCGCCTGACGGTGCTGAATCCCGGGCGAAGTTGGCAATACACGTTCGAACGAGTTTATCGCTTCGTCCCAATGCTCTGGCGATCCATCGAAGCGGCTTTTTGAGGCGCAAATAGGCCTTTATTTGGCCACGCTCGATGTCGGTGATGTTTTTGCCGCGAGGCATCGCCAAATGTGGTGATTATGTTGATTTTGGCGCCGAAATGGTCCTGTTCAATCGAGTAATCAATTTGATTAGAAATTTGATTAGAAGTTTGCATTCTGATTGGCCAAAAATCGAACTTTTCGTGGATTTTCGCAAACTGCGTCTATAGTTTCCGGCCAGTCCAAAATATGAAAAATGAACTTTGCAACATTTCAACTGATCTTTAGTTCAAGTCCTCTTGAGGGACCCTTTTACATCACTGTTCGATGGTGGGGACACTTAAGGTTCGAGCTGAATCGAATGATATCATCATGAACTCGAAAATTGCGAGGTGCGTCTATAGTTTCCGGCCGGA